GGGGGAGAGATAAGAATTACATTTAGCAGCCAGGGGACCATAGGCTTTATACAGGAGTTTTAAAAGGCACAATCCCATTTCGTTCCCATCAATTAGGCCTACTATATTTTTTAAAATTAACTTTACGTACAACCCAGCCCTTACTACCTAACGCTTTGCCGTTTAACTCACAAGTTCTTATCATAAATGGACGCTTTTAAGGACAAGATCCCGAAAAATGTTCTTTAGAGAAAATCAAAGGTAAAGTTTTTGCCCCTTTAAGCCTTGTTCAGTTTCACTAAAAGACAAGGAGAGTTTTCTCTATACAACCAAACAAATCAATGAAACCAAACTTCTCCTATAGGTAGGGCAATGCCCACTTTTGGTGTAGGTCAAGATTTCTGGAAACTCCCGAAATCTGGGCCGCTTGTCTTTAAAAGCGACCATTTATTCCAGTACTCTTTATCGTGGGTCTTTACCGGGGACTACCGGGTTTTATTCTTCAGTACCCCTACCCCATCCTTCCCCATCCCCCTCCCCACCCTACACCCACACTTTTCCTCCCAAACACACACACACACACACACACACACACACACACACACACACACACACACACACTCACTCACACACAAAAGCGTGACACTTAATTGGACACCTGCTGTTACAAACAGAAAGGACAGCCAACAACAAAGAGAACAACCAAACAATGTAACAATCAACAGACCAGACAACAGACAAGACACAACAGAATGTCGTACCCTCTGACAGGAGACCCCCCCCCTCCCTTCCTCAAAAAAGTTCACAAATTAGGGGCCAGTACAATGCGACAATCTCCTACCTTGTTAGCACACCTGTTGTCGCCAAGGTCCCCCTTCACGAGGTTCTCCGTCGTTCCAGATAATAATATATCCACACCACCACCACCTGAGTGAGAAAGCCGATCGAACAAATCACAGAGCCTAAACTAAAACTCAAAGCGAAAGAAAAGAATGAACAGAAACAACAAACTCTAGATCCACATGGGAATTCCGTCAGATAGGTTAACTACACACTACACTACAGACTACACACCACAGTAATCTATCCTGGGCGCGTTCACGGGTAAGTTATGTGTGTGTGTGTGTGTGTGTGTGTACGGGTCAGCACTAAACAAACGTGCTTGCTCGACTGACTTGTAACACACTGACTGACTGCCGACTGCCGACTGCCACCACAAGCAAGCAACCTCTCTCTCTCTCTCTCTCTCTCTCTCTCTCTCTCTCTCTCTCTGAGTCTCTCTCTCTCTCTCTCTGAGTCTCTCTCATGCCAGCGAGCGAAACGCGCGGGAAAAAAGAGAAGAAACGCCTGAGCCAACAACTTACTGCTGGGACGACAGATCCTGCCTGGGACGGACGACGAACGACACCCATCCACCCACACCCCTCTCTCTAGCGGCTAGCCCATGCCGCCGTCGCTCTTTACGCTTCGCGGTGCAAAATTTACCTTAGCTGGGCGAAATCCGAATCGTAAATCCGGTTAACTGAAACAGGCTTCTTAACTTTTGGTAAGTGTTTTACGGCGCTCGCAACTGCATAAGATCATACGAGCGCGCGGGACACATTAAACATTTTCAGTTGGTAAGAAATTTATAAATTTTGCCCAGGTGGCGGCTGAAGCCTACTGTTATCAATTTTAGACCACCAATGGATCTTTAACGTGCTCAACTTGCACACGGGACATCCGAGATTTTTCGCCCTTGACCGAGTAGGCTTGGTGTAGATCTTTCCTACCCGTAGATCAGGGGTGTGGCTGAAAGACAGCAGTAAGAAGGAGCCAAGGAGTAGCAGTAGAAAGACTGCAGAAAGAGTCAGGAGCTCAAAGGAAGCGGCAAAGGAGGTGAGGGGGTGGGGGAAGAAAGTGGAGACGAAAGCAGACAACAGAATACGACTAGAGAGCAAGAAAGGAGGTGAAAGGAGACAATTAAGAGAAGAAAATGTTTCGGACGCTTTCCTTATTCGGACCCGGGACCTTTTGAATGAGAGGCGAACACCTTAACCTCTAGGCCACGAGAGTCCCCGATCTGTATCTCTGTATACAACCCATTTAAAGCAAAACATTTTGTGAGTTTGGAGGGAAATAGTTCTTTTGCATATTCCATACATGGAGTACCATAAAACAGGCAGTCTTTTATTTCTTTCTTTTTTTTGGGGGGGGGGGGGGAGGGGGGGGGGGGGGGCCCTTTTCTTTTTTTCTGGGGGGGGGGGGGGGTGGTTCTTGTTTTTTGTTTGTTTGGTTGGTTGGTTTATGACGAACCTTTATGAATAAAACAGGATTCAAAACTTTATAAATTTTGGAAAACATCACAGTCGCAAACCTACCTATTTAATTTTGAACAAATTTAAACGTTACACTTTCGAACCTATAGTGGTTGAACAAAAATTAAAGCATTTGATGTGCGAACCAGACGATTTGTAATCGAGTTGTAGATTACTCGTGCTCGTAATGCATACGATTGTTGATGATGATGGATCTCTGCTTCTTCCTTTTTAGTTTTAGTAAGCGTTTTACGGCACTTGCAACAATAAGGTCATATAGGTGCCGAAGATTAGAGGTGTTACAAGTGAGTAACAAACACAAAAAAGGAGGGGAGACAAAGACGATACACGTTTGTAAGGAAAGAAAGAGCAAACCGCACAAGAGCACCCGCCAACCACCCACTCTCCGCTTCTTCAATCGTAATTTTACAGACATGTGCAGAGTGCCAAGAATAGAATCTGATGGCGACTGTATTGTGATTTCTGATACTTTTAAAACTGCAAACATTTTTAAATTGGTGTAGGGGAAAATGTCAACCTCACACTTCTTCGATTTTCTGAAACACCCTATCTAGGTGGCTCTTCTCTCTGTCTGTCTGTCTGTCTGTCTGTCTGTCTGTCTGTCTGTCTGTCTGTCTGTCTGTCAGTCTATCTGTCTGTCTGTCTGTCTCTCTCTCTGTCTCTGTCTCTCTCTCTCTCTGCCACAGCACACAAAAGACCCGTGTTCGCTGACAGGTTGTAGAAGTCTATTTCATTGGGGTATCTTTGTCTTTCCACAGCCTCATGGGATGTTGGTGTCACCTCAGCCACAGTTTGTCGTGACAGCCCACCCCTAAAATGCTCTTTAAAGATCCCTTTGAGAATAAAACGTTTACATACTATATAATACGTTCAGCTTCGATAAGCTAAACGACGATAGGGATATAAATTTGTTCTTGTGCACAGTAGAATTGTAAATGGACTGATTTATCAATGTCATGCTCATACTGTGTCGGAACAACATAGGGGGAACTGTTGTTTTTTCTTTCTTCAACCTTACTTTTATTATCATAATTTTTCCTTTACTTCCTTTGTATGTTGTCATTCTCTTGTGAACTGCTGTTTCTGGGGTGCCTTGATAGTCGAAGCAGACTTTGTGCTGTTCAGGCTAGAGAGGTGAGCAAAGTAAGCCTGATTCCCCATTTGGATTTCTACTTTGACATCCACCCCTTTGCGCTCATATGGCCTTATCATACAGTTGCGAGCGCCGTAAAACCTTACTAAAACTTTTAAAAAACGACGATCTATTGTATACCGGTTAATAACAAACGGGTTCATGCATCATCCGGTTCACAAGGAAATGGGTACTTGCCCAGTTCAGAAGGCGATTTCGCGCGTTCACTTTGGTCGCCTGGTCGCCCGCGTGCCCCCGGCGAGAGAGTCGTCTGCCCCTCGTGTTTCAGCGCGGCTGTCTGTGACGAATCTATTTGGTTGTTTGGTGGCTCTCATGGGCTCATGAGCTGTGCCGTTACGGAATGTGAAGCAACGATACACCCCGGGCAGCAAGTAGCAAGTAGCAAGCTTGCAGTCGCCACGCCGTCACGTTAGGATGACGGCGGACAGTTGTGACAGTTTTTGCCTGACCGAAATGCCGAGTAGGGCTTCTCAGCAGTAGGCCTATAGATTGTACACATGTATTTTTAAAAGTCATTGTTACACGCCAAAAATTTGGAGTTCGAGAAGTCTGCTTTATTTAGTAGTAGTAGTAGTAGTAGTAGTAGTAGTAGTAGTAGTAGTAGTAGTAGTAAAAATAATGATAATAGCATTAAGTCTAGCGCATACCCCCGCTCAACAGCAATCTCTATGCGCTTTACACTATACTATTACCCCATCAGACCATAAAACTCTCAGCAGCTTCCCGGGAAAAATACAGCGCAAGCAGCTGATTAAGCGCTCAAACTCTAACAAACTGGCAAGATAGTGTCTATAGCTGTGTACCCATTCCTACTTGGGTGAAGTGAGGAAAATTCGTGTAAAGCGCCTTTCCCAAGGACACAACGTCGGGCCCCTGGCGAGATTCGAACCGACGACCTTACGGTTGCGAGCCCGAGAGCCTAACCACTAGGCCACCGACGCCACAGAGTATCCCTGCTTGGATAATTTACTAAATGTGTGTAGATGTACCATCTTACTACGTGGATGATAAATCATCGTCATCATCATTGCCTTTCTCACCCTGGATCAGGGTGCATAATATATAGGCAACCAACAAACACTTTGCACATTTCTCTATCCTGGGCTAGTCACTTGATGTCACTCCATGACTTCCCACTTTTCTGTACATCCATTTCCGTGACTCTTCTCAAGGTTCTACGTTGTCTTCCCCTTGATCTTTTACCCTGTGGGTTCCAATCCAACACTTTCTTTGTTATGCAGCTGTCTGACTTTCAGAGAGTATGTCCAATCAATCGCCACCGCCTTCTTCCCACCTCATCTCTGACTGGGATCTGTCTTGCACTTCTAAACACGTCTTCGTTGGTGATCCTGTCTGGCCATTTGATCCTCAGTATCTTCCTCAGACACTTGTTCAAGAAAACCTGGATCCTCTTTATGCAAGTCTGAGATGCGTTCCATATCTCACATCCATACAACAGGACCGACTTCACGTTTGAATTGAAAATCCTCAACTTTGTTCGAAGTGAGATCTCTCTGGTCCTCCAAATCCTATCCAAAGATATGAAAGCCTTTCCGATGCTGCCCTTTTTCCAGTTATATTTCCAAGATAGCAGAAGGATTCAACGTCGTCTGGTGCATGGTGTATCAATAAATGACGTGTATAGGATAATGTGATCTAAATGTGTTTTTTTAGTACCGGTAAGTGTTGACGGCACTTGCAACACAATAATGTCACATAATAAGTGCCGAAGATTAGAGGTGTTACAAGAGAGTAACAAACAAATAAAAAAAGAGGTAGGAGAGATCAGGACGATATGTATGACAGGAAAAAGGGAGCAAACCACACCAGAGCACCCACCAGCCACCTACGTTCTAAATGGGTGTACATGATCCATCTTACTGCCCGTGTGAGGTACAAGACTCGGCCCTGATTGGTCCAACTAGAAGTTGCCTTCCTACTAACCGATGTAATGTTGTTTTACGGTGCTCTCAACTGCTCAAGGTCATATGAGCGCCAAGGGGTGTATGTCAACAGAGAAGTCCTTACAGGGAATCAGGCTTACTCTGCTCACCTCTCTAGCTTCAACAGCACAAAGTCTGCTTCGATTATCAAGGCACCCCGGAAATAGCGGGTCACAAGAGTGTGACAAACATACAAAAGAAGTAGATGAAAATGACAATACTAAGGACTAGGAAAGAAAAAGAAGCAGTGTTCCCTGTTGCATTTCAGGCACAGTTATGAGCACGACATCGATGCATCAGCCCATATACAATTCTACTGTGCATGAACGAGAAATGTCCCCCCTTTGGGAACGGCCTAAAGACACTACAGTCAGTGACACCGTCCCAGGGGGTGTAGAGGGAAAATTACGATAGTAAGGAATAGGGTGAAATAAATCAGCAGTTCCCTGAAAAGGGGAATAATAAAATACAACCCAACATAATGTCCAAATGCACTGAGCCAAACAGCAAACTCCAAAAACAACATAAACCAGAGAAAGACAAAAAAATCAGGTTCGTTTTTAATGCTTCATTCTCAGTCCTCCCTAGAAAACAAACAATGATTTTATTATAATTATTATTATTATATGGTAAGAAGAAACAAAGAAAAAATCTTGATCACAGAAACGGAAAAGTAAATGGGACGAGTAGTAAATGCAAACAAACTTTGGACAATCAAACGCAAAAGGTAATAATTATACAACAAGTTAACAGCTGTCTCATAGCAACAGCTTTCCCTCCTAGACATGAAAACAAAACATTTCAGATCATCATCTT